GATGGTTGACCTGAGAGCTCAAAGCAGTTATCTTTTCTTCCAGTAAAGTGCTTTTTCTTTTGCTGTTTGCTCCGCTGCCGATAGCAGCTTTTCAAACTTTTCTGTCATATGTTTCATACACTTCACTATCGGGTTTTCCGAGCAATCGTTACAAAACGTCAAACGTTTATGACTTCCTCCAACAACGGCAGAAGTGAGACTAAAGGAAAACAAACTACGGATATGCGTATGATGAAAAGAAGTTGCGCAAATCCCCACGTTCAAATACCTTGTTACCCGTTCTTGCATTAAAAACAGCTTTTATCGTGTTTTGCGCTCTGTTGGCATCGTTACTATTTTGGGTGGGTGGGTGAATTTACCTAACATGTTGAAACACCTGGGGTGGGGATAGTACTAACCAGGGAACCTTTTGATACAGCTAACTGATCGCCAGCAGTGGCTACAGAGCAGTCAATATTGTGAAGCCGGTGGGGTGGACCGGAGAAAAGCAATTTCTTAACTTGGTGAAAGTGTGCAGTGTCTATCGATCAGAAGCATTTGAATCTGTCCACTGAAAACCGTCGTGTTTCAGGACGGAAGTCTCACAATTGTATTTCCTTGCACCGTTTGCATGAAAGACTCGAAAGTGATTTGTCAACTATGTTGTCTGAAATTGGTGAAAAAGAAGAAGACTAAACCACAGTATGTGTCCAAACCGCTCCCAGCTGATCCATATTTGGATATGAAGGCAATGGCGTTGACCAGTGTGCTTTTCTTGCAGGATGACCTATTTGCGCTTAAAAAGGTCAACAAACTGGATCGGGAAGCACTCACAACCAAGAACATTCCGGATGAACAATATGATGAACAATTTGTTCAACTTTTTCCCGAATCATTTGTTCTGAAAGCGTATCTATTGAATAATTCTCGACAAATCGCACGTCTTGGTCTTTTGGCCGGTCTGCAAATGGTTTCAGTATGAAAATGAACTTCTGCAACATCTTTTTACTTTATTACTAATCCCATCACTACTACTACTGTGTCGCTTGTTTTCCCCTGTGTTAAAGATCAATATTAGCTATATGGTATCTGAAACGAGCGATTTTTAACAAAATTTGGAGCGTTAATTAGGCCTGGTTTATCCCCAATTCAAAGAAAAGTTGATGCTTTTTAGAACCGAGTATCATCCAAGAGCCACGCTACCATGGGTAATGGGCATTGCGAGTGATGCACTCGAACAGTGCGTGTTCATTAGTCTGCCGCTATGTCAATAATATGATTGTCGATCAAATGTGTATCTAAGACGGAGATAATTTACTGGTACACCTGAGAGTTCTTTTTTAAACAAACTGTCCCTAGGGAAACACGGGAGAAATTCCACCGAAGTTTTGTGGATAATATCGGTACCAACCTTAAAAATTCGCTGGAATCTCAAATCTTGGTGTTTTATTCTCTCCAAGCTTAGCTATTGAATTGTCCATCTTTAAATAAAAACTAAATCTGTGTAGTTTCTGGCTTCCCCCAAGTTCTTTAATTGCCTCGAATGTCATGACATTATCCAGAGATCGGATTGATAGTTTTGGATGCACCGAAAGGAATTCTAGAAACGTGCTTGATTCAAACATTATAGTACCATCTATTGAAGGCGTATAATGTTCAGTTACTGCCTTATGGACATGTTCTTTTGTTTGATGGCTGGTTTATGACCTTTTGGTTTTCCATTTAACTAACCGCTAAAATATCAACATTGTCTCTAAACTTCTCGCTGGCATCATACTCCGCCGACTGTCTGCCGCATGCGAACGGTGCACGCGTGAGAACCAGGCTGGTTTTAGCCCCGGTCGAGGTTGTATCGAACACATCTTCACTCTGCGCCAAATTATGAAGCACCGGCACTCTTTTCGTAGACCCACCATCTCTGTATTTCTAGATCTGAAAGCGGCTTTTGACTCGGTCGACCGCTCTAACTTCTGGCACTGCCTTTTCCTGAAAGGTGTCCCCAAGAAGTTAATTTCAATATTACGATCGCTTTTTATACTTAGCCGAAGTCGAGTCCGGGCTTACGGCACTTTTTCTCCCGAGTTCACCACGGAAAGTGGTGTTCGTCAGGACTGCCCTCTTTCTCCTTTTCTATTTAACTTTTTTATAGATTTGATTATGGAAACAGCCCTCGTGCGACATAGGCATCGATTTACTTCCAGGTGGCAGGCTGTCTGATCTGGAGTACGCAGACGACATTGTGTTACTAAGTGAAGATCCAGGTAAGTTGCTAGCTTTTCTGGATAAGTTGAATACCAGTGTAGCCATATTCGGTATGCGTTTTGCACCTTCAAAGTGTAAACGGTTACTACAAGACTGGGTTGGTTCAGCACCCAGCCTCACTCTAAGTGCGGAAGTAATAGAGCAGGTGGATAAGTTTGGTTATTTGGGCAGCTATACCTTACCCGGTGGACGCATCACGGATGAATTGTCAGCTCGCATACGGAAGGCTCGGTTGGCATTTGCCAACTTAAGACATCTGTGGCGCCGTCGCCACATCCGGTTGTCTGTGAAAGGTCGAGTGTATGCCGCGACAGTTCGGCCAGTTCTGCCATACGGTGCAGAAACTTGGCCATTAAGAAAACAAGATAAACACAGACTGTCGGTGTTTGAACACCGTTGTCTACGTAGCATTACATGAATCTGGTGGAGCAGCCGGACGAGCAATGCTGAGGTTAGGTGCAGAGTTTTGGGTAAATACGGTCGCCCACCGGAGCAAGTGGTCGACCTCCATAGATTACGTTGGCTGGGACATGTGTTATGCATGTCACCGGGTAGGTTACCACGGCGAGCGATGTTCGCCAAAGCAGATACCGAGTGGAAAAAAGCCAAGGGTGGTCAAGCTAAGACCTGGCACGAGGGTATGAANGTGGGTCACATAGGTCCTGTTAGGCTCCCTGGTTGGGGACCTCGGGATGATCGTAACCGATGGTTAGAGACACTGAGTGATATGGCTGGGTGTCGCAAAAAGTGGCGTTCGTGCATCTCAATTTCTTTGCAACCTTAGTCCACTGAACGTCTTCATTTTCCTTTCGAATTTCTTCTCCTATTCTTCATCCCAATGGGCAGCCAAAAGACAGCAACCAAAACCGGCGCAGGAAAGTGCATGGTTAATGGTTGTTCAAACTGAAACTGAAACAGTTAAAATTGGGTCGTACATCTCCGTATCAGATACCAACATTGAAAACCATATGAGCATACAATGAGATTGGGGTAGCAGCTCATATTCTTTCCCCTCTAATATTCCAGACTACCAAAAGTAGCTGTCGCGGATTCAGTAAGAAAGCATGCTGTATCCGACCTTGAATGACCCAGCCTGTGTTGTTGTTATTATCAATAATCGAGTGGCTTGATCAAATTCGTCATTTCAAGCTTGGTGCACGGAGACAAATAACCATGTTACATCAAAATACGGTATTGCAAGTCAGAATCCCACAATATCAAAGCCGTCACCTGAAACATTCAAACTACGCATACTACCGTTAGGAAACGCTCCCGATCCCGAGCGAACACATTTAATCGTGTTGCGTCTGTTTTCGGATTTAACGTCTAAGAAGCTAGAGTTGAGGGTTTGATAGCGAATTTGAGTTCACCTAAATCTTTTTTAGAGTACCGTAAAACTGTAATTTACAGGGAACTTTATGAACCAGGAGAACAAAAATGAGCTCAGTTACACACCGATTTAAAGACGAAGTACTCCATTGCCCCGGGATAGTGGTTAGAGTGTCTTGCATATGATGTTCAGTTGGAATTACGGATTCCCCACTGGATGCATATGGTTTTAGTTAAGTCAAAAAACCCTTAGGGTATACATTTTTGCCTAGATGATGCTCCTTTCTCCTCGATAAAACTGCCCAACTTCCAAAGATTTTTGCTGCTGGACCTTGTCCATCATTTCAAACATTCTCTCTTGCGAAACAATGAGTCCCCAGTTGAATTCGTACAGTTATTTTTCATTCCTCTGTTATGTCTGATTCCCCAGTTTTCTCCATTTCAAGTGAATTTTGATTATGAATGAATGCTCTTATACGTGGATGCATATTTCTGACGAGAAGCTTGAAAGTGACTTAAATTAAACAATTTCTTGTCACTAATATTATTCATAGGTTTTCCGTCGGCAAATGTATTGGCAAAATATAGTACCGATTCCGTGCGTGAACAATAACTAAATTAACTAGTATATATATATATATATAACATTAGCTTTCTTCCAGGGGTACGCATCATCTGACATGCTTTAAAGTTTAAAACCCATGTTACCACACCCATATCAACTAACGAAAGATCAAAACCCTGACACTTCTGATTGGTAGATTGTATCTCTTGGCGGTGACCATATATCACCTCATTTTTCTCAAGCATTGAGCCTACTTACATCTGAGCCATAGACGATGAGGTATAAAGTAGCGTCCAGAACGCAACACACCACTCTACATGCGGGTGCAATCAAGATGAGGGGGACTGAAATGTAAACCGTTCTGTGAGATAGCATACGGTATGCAAAGTCAGCCACTCTTTAGTGGACGAAAGCTTCTTTTACGAACAGGGTTGCATTCACAACCATGGATTGATAAATAAGCTCCCAGAAAGCCATCGACAACGATGCACAACACTTTTATTGCAGAACGCATTTGATCATGCTAAATCTAGAGGTGCGCCCTCGAGAAAAGCAGAGTGGCGCAACGGACTTCTTTGGTGCCTGTCTCCCACTAAACTTCGCGATATGAAGACGACATGAAGACGATTTATCCCCCTCAAGAAGCACGTCAAAGTACCGCAAGATAAATTCCCATCGTTTCTACTCTTTAAGATTAGCTTAACTCTCCGCACTGTTGCTCGCAGAACTCGTGAAACCTGCCGGTAAAAGGCGAGCCAAATATAACTGATCGAGATAGAATTTCCTATTAGGTGCGGTCATAAATGAAGCAAATGCTAACGTGGAAGGATTGTTTTTCTTTGACGTAAGGTCGTCCGTAACGCTGCACCCCGTTACTGAACAGGGTGAAATTCATCAGTGACTTCATTGACCACCATCTTCAGAGAATCGCCACTAAGGTATACACTCAACGCGTGGTTCTTTCTTACTGGTACGTGCCACCGGTTAGCAGACGGGTTGTTGAAAGGCTTGTCTTCGGAGACAGCATTAGTTGACATCGACATCACAAATCTATCGTGCGATGGACATATTCCATTTGGTTTACAAAGCAGTTGATCGTAATATATTATTCCTGCACTTTGCTACGGTTGAAACCCAAAATATTTTCTATTCCTAGGGATTTATTTGACCAAGTATGCATCCAAATAGAGCGGTAAATTGAAAATTCACCTAGACTGAGCGGCGTAAAACCGTCGGTGCTGTTGTTTTCCGGAGGTTCAGACCTAATTTGCTATAATTTTAAAAATTTTAAACACCAAAACTTGGTTCAAATACGTGATGAACAAAAACTCATTGTTAGAAGCCTTCTAATCAATCATCACCATTTAGAGAACATTGAAAATGAATTCGCCACGAAATATTTTTTCGATTACAGTTCGCGTTGGGGTGATGGGCTTAATTTTTATTCAAAGCAAAATCAATCAGTCCGATATACTAACCATTGTTGGTAGTACCGTTGAGTTAACACATCAGTAAGTTTTGTTCATTGAGATTCCCAAGACTTTTGTTAGCATACAAATACCGATTTCAGAAAAAAACTGATCCCTTAAAGACCAGAATGATATGGCCTAGTGTATGTGTGTGTTACAGAGAGAGAGAGAGAGAGAGAGAGAGAGAGAGAGAGAGAGAGAGAGGGAGAGAGACACGGAAGGCAATGAAGCCACAAGGTAGTTTTAACCATATATATATTTGAACACTCAAAGACTACCTGAGTAGTTAGATTTTCCATCAATCCCAGAATTTAACCATTTTAGGCAATGAAAACTAATATCCCGCACATATATCCAGGCAATATACACAATTGTTAGTACAGAAGAATTATGCCGACCAACATTTCTCGAGATAGCAACCTTGAATGACGGCGATTTCCACTTTGTAAGCAGGTCAAACGCTTTGGAAAGAAATCCATTAAAATGTGCTCAAGAGGCCGAAAAATGTTAGTCTTGAATGTTTACCATATATTTCCACCCGGTCTCGACTGAATCACAGTTGCACTAGTATCACCAGAACGAGTCGGGATGGTAGAGATCGCAGTTTTACGATTGCTATCTGATATTTTCATTTTTTCAGCCTCCTGCCGGAGCATTTCTTCATATGCCCTCTCAGCTTCACGTGAGACTTTTGCCTCGGCCTCAGCATTTCGACGGGCTTCTAATCGCATTTCCCGGTTTTCAGCTATTTGTGATTCCAATTCTCTTCGCTGAGTTTCTATCGCGGAAAACCCGTTTTGACTTTCCTCCATCCCGTTTTGATGCGCTTTTTCTAACGCTTCGAGCAACGATTCGCGAGTTTCTAGCTCTTCTTGTTGGCGTCTTCGGTTGTACTCTATTCGTTGGCAGAGTTGATTTCGTCGGTCCTCCAATACCTATTTGGGGAGGTATAAACAGATGGTGTCATACCTGGTGTGCACCAAGGGAAAAACCTAGCGTTCCAAATGGGATACTACTAAAAGCAACAGGCATCAAACCAATGGCAAAAGAAATTAGACAAAAGCGCGGGATTGTTTGGTACGGTAGAATTGTTCAATCGAATAAAATGATGAGGATTCATTCTGAAAACAGGATAGATAACCAAATATAAGTTAATTTTATATCACGCATCAGTGAAATGTCTAGTAAGCACCCACTATACATTGTCTTATTCCTTGTTAGAAATCATCAGTAGCACTTGGTTACCAAATCCACCGGGATTAGGTGCGTGGGGGCACCTAATCTTTATTGAGGAAACCGGTTGCTGATTTTTGATATCTCGACTGTCTCAGAACTTTGATCAACTTCAAACCTGTGGTAAGAGACCAAACAAATCAAACCTTGGGATTTACGGACGAATTACAATGCCTTCGGTTGTGTTAGTACCAACACTGGGTAACTTTAATCCGGAAAATCACACAGCACTGATTGTCAACTTATCCATTGGCTTTAAAATGAAAACATTCTAATTTATTATTGAACAGCCGGGTATAGAAACAAGATAGAAAATGTTGAATGAAAGGGAGTCATTCAGTATGTTTAGTGGCAACAGCAACAGGTGTCATATTGCAGTTTATGAGTAAAATTGCTCCAACTGCCCAGCAAGATAAGCGGAAAACTATATTCGGTGGGCATTTTCGTGTAAAGATCGAGAACTCATGAGTCCCTAACCTGCGTCCCCTTTACTTACTTGATAGGACTTTGCGGTAAATGCACATTCAAACGGCTAATGATGCCAGGATTGATATATATAATAATATAATAATAATAAGTAGTATGCGAATGACTGGAC